AATGTCACTGACCTCAACTGGGCCTTTGAACTTTTGCTTAGAAACAGTTACCTAGGTTCTGGGGGCACTTTGGAGACCAACCTGAAATTTAAGCTTGTTTGACCTAACTGACCTGAAGGTCATGACCCAGGAAGCTCAAACGTTGACCTAGTGAGTTCGCTTGCAGGATAAGATATCCTGAAAATTTGGTGTGTCTACCTTTTTTATTTCGCGAGATCTCAGGGGGGTTAAATTGACACCCTCCCCCACCCGATCGCAGGGCCTCTAGCCGGCCACCCGGGTGCGTGTTAACTAACGTAACACAACGTAATGTAACCTAACTTAGCTTAAATTAACGTAACGTAACGGAACCTACCGTAATTTAACGTAACCTAGGCTAACCTAACCTAACCTGACCTAACCTAACCTATCCTAACCTAACCTAACTTAACCTAACCTAACCTAACCTAACCTAACCTAACCTAACCTAACCTAACCTAACCTAACCTAACCTAACCTAACCTAACCTAACCTAACCTAACCTAACCTAACCTAACCTAACCTAACCTAACCTAACCTAACCTAACCTAACCCGACCTAACCTCACCCAACCTAACCTAACCTAATCTAATCTAACCTAACCTAACCTAACCTAACCTTACTAAACCTAGCTCACCTAATCTTCCTTACATTTTTATCTTGCTACCGCAACGGGAGGCCTTGCTCCATGCCCAGCTGATTCGTCTGCCAATCATCGGTCAGCGTTACGTTTTGACACTGTGGCATACTGTGATCGCTGTCATCAGTATGAAATCATGGTTATTCTATTTGTCAAGGGTACGATGATGCAACTTTGCTGTTCTTCGATACCGCTGTTTTTCGATGATATATTGTGGTCTAAAGAAGTCATATATGGATAGATATGTTCTGAAAGAACGGTGCGCGTCTCATTTCATGCCCGTGTGTGCGAGGCTTATGCCTACTATGAGCTGAAATACCTGATCTTACTTTAGTTCGAATGACTGTTACTCTAAGGTGCTTGCCGGAATCTGTTAATTGATAGAGTTGCAGCTACAGGGATGCAGTTTTGCAAAATGCGGTGGAGTAGAGAGAGAGAGAAGTGATGACTCAGGAAGAAAGAAATTGGTGAGCCGGCCTCAAAATACATTTTAAACCATTTTCTCCTCAGGTCTGTCCCACTGTCTTTTCAGAGATGGGAACAGCGGCGCATTTTTACCAAACAAGCTGGGTGGGGGTGGGGGGGGGGGGGGTAGTCCTTAAAGATGATGTCATTGGGCATGCACGAGTAAAAATCTTAACTGCATGATGAGCATGCTAATCATGATCTTTGGTCATGGCTCATACATTAGCTCCTCTCCCTGATTTCGTCGTTTTTCATAACGCAAAGTGATCGGGGGATCGATGTGACCCTTCCCCATGGCGTTTCGAAGCTAAGGAAGATAAAGTCTCGCAAGAAAAAGGAAAAGTATATTAGTCTCAACTAGATCTTACGGTTGGTAACAAGGCTTATTTGCTGAAATAAAAAGGTCAAGAGTCATATTTTCCTGGCGATATAGTTATTTCAGATTTACATACTGATATATACGAGACTTTACCCAGCAGCGACACAAATCTATAAAAACGTGCTCCTTGTTTCATTTTAAATGCAATGGTGAATAGTTTTATATGTTTTGATTATAGATTTATCATGTTAGGCTCCGTAAAAGGGAGTATTCCACCTTTATGTGGGTCTTGAACTGAAAATAGGCGTCTTGACGATTCACATGTTCACAACCCTGCCCTTCTTATGGCCTAGCCCGTCTAGTTTGTGAGCTGCACGCCCGCGAAAATGGGAAAGGTATATCGAGAAAGAGTATTTAAAATTACATTGGCACGCATGACGTCATAAACCGTCATTCAAATCCTCCACTCTATTAAAGCCATTCAGCGATCAAGGCCAAGAAAAATATAGTAGTATGCGTCGTTCATATCAGGCGCTCATATCATAAGTGTCATTTCCAGAGATAATGGCAGTCAATTGGTTCCCAACCAATGCTTGTGTAAGATACCATGACGTAATCAAACCGTGACGCATTGATGAGCCTATGCACTAACCGGAGAACGGCGCTGTCTAGATTATTATTTTCCACTAAAAAGCATGCCAATAGTGTGGTGTGATTGTGCGGGGTGCACGCTCTCGCCCTCGCTGCCTTCCGAGCTCTGTATCTGACTGGGTGCCTGGGGGCGTCACGTGAACGCGGGTCCTCCGATTCGCCGGGGTCAAGGGTCGGCCACTGAGGCGGCGGCAGGGACCCGACGCTCGCAGGTGCCAGTCGCTTTTTGGGCGAGTCCAGGCGGATGCACGCTGCGTGCTTTTACAAATAGTTATAAGTGAGCTTGTTTCATCATATCTGATGTTTGCTTCAGTATTTTCAAGTGTGAAACATTCCCGTTCGTTGGAACGGTGTCGGCCTGCCAGCCGCGCTGTCCGCTGATCACTGTGCAGTGTCCCTAACAAACATTGCTTCTCAGAAACCAGGAAAAGTAGGGGCAGGATTTTGGTGCCAAAACCCGCACAATGGCTGATTCAGCGGCTACCAAAAATTGGGCGTGATGGCACGGCATGCGGGAAAGGTATACCCAGAAAATCTTAGGAGAGGCGTATGATTCTATCAGGGCGAGGGTTAAGCTGGTATTTTATAGGGTGAGTGCCGCTCCAGTAAAATACTATATGAGAGGTTAAAATAGTTTCTCTTTTGTACCTGATTCTTTGCTGCATTGGTTCCAGCGTAACGTAGTGGGTGAGTGGTACAAACATAAATGGCTGTGCATATCTGGGTTAAAGAGTTTTTGTTAAGTGTGCTGCCGCTACCCTTCCGTGGTCAGAACAAGTCGTCGCAATTCCATATCTAGGTTTCTGAGATAATTTTTCGGCCAGTTGCATGAGATGGTCTATGTCCAGACAAAGGATCGGACTCAATATGCCAACATTTTCAAATTTAAGCCATCCACTGCCGAGAAACAATGCGGAACCCCAGAGCCCCATTTTAGCAGAATGGATAGGTATTTGGCGGGAAGGCGCGTCTGCACCAGCTGCTGACCTGATTTTAGGTCATCATTGAGGCGGGTCTGGAGAATACGCCTGAGATTCGAGCCGGTAGACTGTACAACCTCCAGCGTTTTCAAATTAAGATCAGCTTGGCCCGCAACCCTCGCGAGGTTTTCGGAGGACATCTCTTCAGCATGGCGTGCAATCGCGCCCGAACTTTCAGGCACCTTCTGATGCGTGCATTCGACTTGTCTTGACATAAACACGTTACCCTAGCAGTTCTGATTTCTGAAAAGCTACCATCTTATTTATATATTTACATACCATCAACTATTTATAATGACTTCGTAATATGTGGTCGTTGCGTCGTAGGTCCATGGCTGGAGCATATGTGTTGTACGTAAAATGTCCATAACAGGCTAGCGGACAAATGCTTTGAGAGGCTACGATGCGTAGGCTACTCAAATACCACCCAAAAGTGTCGCGATTTAGGTTCGTGAGTAGCGCTGAAATCTGAAGTGCGCTAAACAGCAAAACAAGTTCGTCACATAACGGAATAGCTGAAACCCCCGAAATTCGAAATATACAACCAATCTCGCTCAGCACAGCTTGTTACGCGGACATGAGCCCACCATTCACGCCATGATATGGGTTATCCAGTGTTGTATTTCTGGTTGTTGATTCTGGACTGAAGAGAACAGCTCTCCCATGCATGTGATGTAAATGCTATAAATCTGAATTTGGGGGATTGTTGAGAACTATGAAATTTAATTTTAGACACTGTCGTTAGAGACGCAGTCCCATACCTGTGATTCTGAGACAGCATGGCAATTTCCAAGTTAAACAAATACAGATTGTAACATCAAAAAGAGTGTCCAACTGATAGCAGTGATAGAGTGAATCGTTACGGATGGATTAAACCAGGCAAAAGCTTTCTTTAACACCAGCATTGCTCCAGTATGTAGTGAGATAGTGCATGGGTTTTGTTTCGTGCCCTTTGTGATTACATACACCGGCTGACCAAACACATGTCCGCCTTTCTCCGTGTCTGCAACGTGTTCGGTTTGTGCCGGACCGATGTGCTCACCAGCCTTGAGTGGCCCGCTGCGTCGGCCACTCATGTACTCGACATGCACATGCGCATGCACATGCACTGGCCTACGCACTACCTGACATGACTTTTGGCATGGCCAGCAAATGACACTTACGTGCAAATTAAACTTCCGAAACATTAATCCCTGAATGTAGCTAACCTTGCTAGCGGATGACAACAACTCCGTTGTTCTCCACGTAGCATGGGCGGATGCGAAGCACCCACCCTATTGATCGTTGGACTGACCATCTGGCTCTACTCTTACGGCTCTTGGCACTCTCCCGGACCCACTATTCGCTCCATCTGGCTGGAGCTGCACACATGGACGCGGACATGTGACGCCGAGAGGATCTTGACACTGCTAGGATTCGACACGGCACTGCTGCACCTTCCTTGGGATTAACGCTTCTTGGTAGCATGAGTCCTGCACTTTACCGCTGAGCTTATCGGAAAAGACCCGGAAGATCTTCTAAGGATTTGATGACACCTGAAAACGGCATGACGATGAAGTGACCCAAGCATTGCGTACAAATTACCGTACCAAAGGAGGAAAGCGTGAGCAATCAGTACATCCGTGATACTAACACCTCGTCTCAACCAACCTTATGTCCGGCCTGAACACCTCCCTGCGGATCGAGACGACCCGAATGACCGGAGCCTGACACCGCAGCAGTTCTGGGTCCTCTTCAGGCATCATCCGAGTGGCCATTCTTGCCCACGACCGAGCAGCCATCCGAACGGCGCTGATACGGTTTCAAGCGGCCTCTGGCGTCGGCGTGAGTGAGCGGCACTGCTGATGGTGATGGCCGTTGGGTGAGCGACGCTGCTGGTGGTGATGGCCGCCGGGTGACCGGCGCTGCTGGTGGTGATGGCCGCCGGGTGACCGGCGCTGCTGGTGGTGATGGCCGCCGGGTGACCGGCGCTGCTGGTGGTGATGGCCGCCGGGTGAGCGACGCTGCTGGTGGTGGTGGCCGCCGGGTGACCGGCGCTGCTGGTGGTGATGGCCGCCGGGTGACCGGCGCTGCTGGTGGTGATGGCCGCCGGGTGACCGGCGCTGCTGGTGGTGATGGCCGCCGGGTGACCGGCGCTGCTGGTGGTGATGGCCGCTGGGTGAGCGACGCTGCTGGTAGTGATGGCCGCCGGGTGACCGGCGCTGCTGGTGGTGATGGCCGCTGGGTGACCGGCGCTGCTGATGGTGATGGCCACTGGTCCACCGCTTGCGGCTCGTTCGTGGCGGCGTGTGTGTGTGTGAGGGTCCTTGCTCGGGTGCGTGCGCTGCGCAGCGGCCCGGCTGCCGCTCTCGTTGTGCGTCGCCGCCTGCCGCCGTCACGCCTCCTCAAAAGAGCAAATTTATCTTGAGGAGCCCATTGGTCAGCATACGAGCCACATGACGCGCACGATTCGGCACGTTATGACTCGGGTACATCCAACGGCAACACACACGCCGAGCCGCAGGGCTAGGAGGAAGTGGATAATCGGTGTATTGGCGGGATGGTAGGTCCGATCAGGCGCCATGAATGGCTGCCTACCCGTACATGGATGTGCACCCTCAAGCACAACATCCCACCTCTACCGTTTGGCAGGTGATAAAATTTAGACGGGGCAACAGCGGAACCAGATGCATCGAGTAAATTGCCCATTCTGAAACCTATGCTGGGTCAGCTTGCTCAGGAGCTCTTTATATTCGTATCGGGCTCTTTCCACTTGCTTGGAGACCCTGTGCTGTTGCTGAGACCCTTAGGAGGTAACGCACTGAGCCGCTCGATGCTCAGGGGCCCTCTTGATTGATTTATGACTTTTCCCTTTGAGCTGTTTTGCTAAGGACGTTTCACTTATCGGAGTCCTCGGTGCTTACCTGCCCGGTAGCTCCATCACGCATGGGCATTAATTAATGTACACTGGTCTCGGGTTATTGCCCTTTGCTCAGCGGATCCTGTGCTCTGGCTGGACCCTGCATGTTAGGCTGCCGGGTACTCCCGATCAATCAGAGGTCCCAACATATTGGTGTTAGGTTTTTCTCTCTTGTTATGAGGACCCTACACTGTTGACGGTAACCTCTTGGTTAACCTGCCGCCGCAGCTTCGATCGTTCAGGTGCCGTCGCTATTGGTCTCGGGTTTTTTCCCACATTATGGGAGGGCCTGGGCCGTTTACGGGAATCTAAATCTTAATAATTACGATTGGGGATTTGCGTTCTACCGACTGGGGAGTTAATTTGCGCCTGTGCCGATTCTGCCGATGAATTTGTATTTGTATCTGTCGAACATACTTTTACGCACTGTCAATGTCGTGCATATTCCCGTTGGTTATTGAGTTTGTGACAGTTATTATGCTTGTACATTCCGTTTTTAATACATTTGAGGGTCAGGATACTTTTTTATTCTTTTCAACAGAGAAGGCAAAAGCTCCGATGTCCCGAAATGAAGGATGCTGGTTAGAAGGTTAGGGTGATGATAATGTAGTTGTTAAAACGCGTCTGCGTTCACTACCGCGCTTCTGGGAAACTGGAGACACGGGGTTCGATTCTCCTTGGTGCCCGCCCTTCTTGCAAGGGTGAGAGACAGGCGACGCCATAGAAGCTCAGCAGCTAAATGCGTCTTAAAGCCTCAATGACAACAAAGGCTGTTGGTGCCTGTTTCCCTGAACAGGGTGCTCCTTCCCTGAACGGTCTGTTCCAGATTTTTTCAGAATGAAAGGCACACTGATTGTAATGTCCCTGGATTTTGGTACCCTTTTTAAGTTATAGTTTTGGGGTTCGTAAATATCCCGCCTTGGTCCATTGCCTCTTGAAAATAAGGATGATGCCACCCTGCACAGAAGGTTTTGTGGCTCCTCGCCCAGGGGTCCGATCTAGGATTTTATCAGGGCGGAAAGCTCAAGTAGTTATGCCCCTGGAGTTCATGGCTTTTTTCAGAATGAAGGGTCGTGCCTTTTCTGGTACTCTCTAGGATTGAATGCTTCTTGAAAATAAAGGTTGTAATGCTCCGACATCAAGGCTTTGGTGCTGCATCACCGAATGCACCGATGCAGGATTTCGTCAAGGGGCACGACACGAAGGTCATCGTGCTCCTGAAATTTGGTGTCTCATAAAAGTACAGATTGTGTAATTCCCAAACGAACTGATTGTTGTCCCTTCACGATGAGATTTGGTCTCGCTTCGGGGCATCAAAACCTCATGGGCTTCAAGTGGGAAGGGCATGACCCTATGGCCACTCCCCCTCTGGACCAGCCCCTGCTTTTTGGTGCCCCAGGAAACGTGTGACTTTGGAAAATAAAAGCTGTGATGCCTGGCAATAAAGTTTTTGGTGCTTCCTCGTGAAACAGGCCGATCCAGAGTTTTGTCATGGTGAAAGCCATAAATACTGCGGTGTCCGTGGATATTGGTCCCTCTCCAAAATCAAAGTTGCGGGACATTGGAACGACCCTCTTAGATGAAAGGTGTTTTTTTCAATACAGGTCATGGTGCCCTGAAGTGAAAGTTATGGTGCTCCAAACTGACTGGCCTAGTGCCCCATAGCCCAAGGGTCCAATCTAGGATCTGCTCAGGGTGGGAGACACAACATTGCTGCACCCCTGAAATTCAGTGCCCTTGGAGAATGAAGGTTTGGGGCCGGTTATGGTGTCCCAGGATGTTGGTGTATATCGAAAATAAATATTAGTGGTGATTTGTTTTGCCCCTTAAATTTAGGTGCCTTTGAAATTAAAGGTTATGCGGATCCGAGATGAAGATTTCGGTGCCCCTTCACCATGTCATTTTGTTGCCCTCTTGCCCCAAGGAACGCGGAGCATAGCCCCATTTCCCTCCTCCTCTCACCCCCTGCCACTCTGGATCCGCCATTAGTCAAGGTCGGTTGACAAGGAACGCCTCGTCGCCTCAATGTTCAGCTCGTTATGTTCTAGCTCCTAATTTGTCATCCGATCAATGCGTAAGCCCCATTTATGCCTTTTTGGCGTGGGTCGGAGTATTACACCGTGTTGTGCTTATGGCTGCTGAGCCCCATTCTGTGTATGCAACAAAATCCACTTTTCACCTTCAAGCATCCTTGTCTAAAGCCCTCTGCCGGCCGTCGTCTGCTGTCAGATGACATGATATCGCATCGGCCGTGGGGCGTCTTTGTTCAAGCTCAGTCACGTGCACTGGCCGCATTCCGATCGTTTTATCGGAGCCTGCGGTCTACCTGACTTCCGAAATGCTATCCGATACTTTCTTTAAAAGTCGCCTCCAGCGTCTCACCAGCTGCCAGTTATTTTACTGCGTACTGACAAACACGACTGCACCCACACATACACCCACAGATTATTGTACAAACCATTCAGGAAATGCACAATATGCTGTTATCTTCACCGGGGCATGCATCAGAGAAATCTTGCCACCATGTGAAATGGCGGAAAAATTAAATTAGTGTCAGAAGCTGACGCCACCCTGCTGCGTACTAGCCACGTATGCGCCAAATATTGATAATAGCATGATGCTCTAGCACTTGTCGCGTTGTCGCTATATGCCATTGGCCTCTAGTCGCCTAACGCCTGCACTATTGCATCTGCCGTTTCAAGAGCATTTGTAGCATACCCACGCCGTGCTTGCCGTAACAGCACTGTGTGCTCCTTTATCCATTACTAAAGACTTAGCAAAACGATGGAAGGAGCTGAGCATATTTAAAACTATTATAATCATATCTTAATTGCATACCCGCACCTTTTTCATAATTCCCTCGGCCTCGGGCCCAAAGTCTAGTATAAAATATGGCAGCAACGGCGCGCATTCCATAGCCATAGTGTTCCCATGTTAACATGTTTTACTTCAGGCCCACGGCTTTGTAAACCTTGAGCGCATATATGTGCAAAAAAATGTATCGAAATGAAGCTTGAACAATTATCTTTTATTTTCCGGGATCAAAAGTGTACGCCGCGGCGCTCCTTTTCAAGCTATCAGGCAAGGCGTTGACCCATGCACGCGCCGCGGTGTCCGGGCGCGGGATCGAATCCCGTTGCCGCCAACTCTTTTCAGCAGAGTTGGGATGGAACACGGAGTGAATACGTGGTAGAACTATTGAAAACTACGGTGATATAACTATTGAGTGCAACGATTTTCTGATTATATATATATTTATATATATATATATATATATATATATATATATATATAGTATGATCTGAAGATGCAGCTGTTGCGCTGTAAAACGTGCTGTGAGTTATCGCAAGAAATACACATGTGATTTTTTTATATCCATAATATCTACTTGACAAGTGTTATGTAGCCGCCCGGCTACAGGCAACAGCCTATGGCTGTGGTGCATACCATCATCGTGCCTGACGCATGGAATCTGTCGCGACGGTAGCAGTCCAAAGGTGGCCGTCCCAAACGCGGCCAGAGGTAGGACCAAGCGCTGTGTCATGTGCTTAAGTTGTGATGCTGCCGGCCATTGCTGTGCAGGGCCGGCATTGCCGCTTCAGGACTAGCACAGCAACGATAGCACAGTAACATTGCAAGCACCTCTGATTTGGAAGAAGTTGTGCTTGAAAGCAAGATGGTAAATATTTTAACGAGAAGTGCAACAACGGCAGGGCTGGTACAGCAAAGTGGCCCTGATATGTAAAAAGTTCAAAACTTCTCTGATTGATTTTGAGGGGCTTAAAGAACTCACAGACCTATGGCCTAATCGACCATGCTCACCAAAACTGTCTGCAGGAAGGTTTTTTTTGGTACAAGGAGAATACAAACATTCTATCACTGGTTATACCGAATAACTGAACCCAAAAAGCTAGCTTTTGCATCACAAAACGCGCACGATAAACATCTGGAGCTTTAATACAATGACACAATTTTATCTTTTCCTCACCAGGTCCTGTAATTTATAACTTAAACTTATATCCATTAATCCCAGCATAGGAGAGGTACACCAAGGCAGCTGGTGTGGAATGGGCAGCTTAGACAGATTTAGAAGATGCATCATTATCAGAAACATATGCAGCATTGGCTCAAGACAATAAGAGCACTGAATGGGCCTTAGATTGCCCCAAACCATGCCCGGGCTATGCACATTCTCATTGAAATGCAACATTTAGTGTTGATATAAGATTGCTGTACCACCTTGGACTCAATAGCTGAGCATTCAGAATATTGCAATATTTGACATAAAACTTAAATTTCTACAACTACCACCATTCTAAAATCGTCCTTGAACAAGCAGCCATTCTATAATGCCGTAGTAAGGTTATTAGCTCTATATCCCAAATTATCTTGTTATTTCAGCACAAAATTTAGTATAAGTCAAAAATATTTTTTGTTCTGCTGACCAACTGTAAATTTAAGGTACAAAACAAACCATTGCACCCATTAACTACAACATTTGCTGCCTGGATTGGATACGTTTACCAAGCACAGGTTTTTTTATTTACTAAGTTCAATACCAGGTTTTCGGTTGCATGCGGTTGCATGGAATAACTGCATGTTGTGATGGTAGCCTCCCCCAATAATGTTGAAAAACACTAGCAAATGTTGGGTCCGCTTGTCATGCTTTTGCTAGAATATTACAAAAAATAACTATGGTAAAGGGACTATTTTACAACAATTCACCCACTTCGGGCATCATTTAATGACACCGGCTGGGCTATCGGATGAAAGACACAAAACTACAAGATGAGAATAGCATCTTGTCAAAATGAAGTGTCAAGGCCCAACAAGAAGCACACATTAGGTGGAGGTGAGGTAGGACGACCCTCAGCACAACCCACTAATATTTAACACAAACTGATTCTTCTAATCTGGAAAACATAACCTTAAAATTTCACATACACTGAATTATACAGAAAATCATCTAATTTTTTTACAACAGCTGACCTAATCTAAATACTGCAGGCTTTGATTAAAAG